TTGAACGTGAGCTCGGTGAGTTAGATGATAACAACCGAGCGATTGCAAGTGTAACTCGGCAGTCAGACCAGGCTGTGCATCGTACCAGGATAATGAAGCTGCTTCCGGGAGAGCGGCTGGGATGGTGGTCAGCACAGACGTTTGATCGCCGAGTTAGAATGAGAGCCCTCGTATTGGGTGCAGTGAACGACCGAAGGACCAAGATATTATTGGATACCGGAGCAAATGTCTCGGCGATCAGTGAGTACTTCGCGAGGAAACTGCGTCTCAAGAGAGTGGCCAGCCGAGATAAGCGGATTGACATACAAGGAATAAGTAAAGACAGGATGGTGACAACGTCAAGAGCAGTGGTGAAGGTGACACTCGGCTGGGAAGTAGCATACGAGTTTGAAGTATGGATAATGCCTCATCATGCCGGAGTCGATTTGATTCTCGGTACCGACTTTATGATCCCAGCTGGAATACGTCTGGATCTGTACAACTCGGCGGTCAAGCTACCCGATGAGATGGTGATACCACTCATCCGGTCAAGTAATGCACCGACCAAGACCGAGTTCGGACCAAATGTACCATGCGGGCCACCAGACGGGTTGACGATCGAAAGTCGAATGACCGCTGAGTTCAAATTACCCAGGCGACAACCCAGTGAGTCGACGCATGACCTATGGGTGCGACGGACGAAGGGTTGGATTCCAACGGTTGTTTTTAATCGCCGAGGAAGACCAACCCATGTCCTGATTACGAACGTACGACAGACGTCAGTCTGGTGCCCACCTCACTTTTATGTGATAAAATGGCAACCACACGGAGTGCTGGCCAACGAGGGATATGTCCGCGTGAACTCGGCGAAGTACCGTGACTGGCAGATATTGGCCTTTGAGTCGGCGATGGATAAAGATTTGCTGCAAAAAGAACAACGACTGTACGACGACTGGCTGTCACACCAGCCGCCAGCTGTGGAAAGACGAAAATACCCAACTCCGACGGCGGTGGAAAGACGACCTCCAGTGGAGAGTGGACCAGAGTTAACATGCGCCAAACGCTGGAGAAGGATCGAAGCCGACACTGAAGCCGGCGACTACGAGAAGCGTCGCGGTAACGCAGACGTCATATCGACGTCAGGGGTGACAAGGGGTGACCCGGCTATAAACTCAGCGTTCAAGCTGGAAGATGTCCGAGCGGAACATACGTCGGTGCTACACGATGGCCAAGATGTCTCCTATCAGCTGTCCAAGTTTGAAGACGATGGTGCCATTTCTGACGTCAACACGAACTCAGCGGTCGAAGGAACAAGTGAAGTAAGGGCCACGGAAGACGCGTCGGCGACTGAAGACTCAGCTATAACGGCAGGAGGCCTTGAAGAACGCTCGGAACAAGCCCTATGTGACGTTGAACCCGTTGCTGACAACCGAGCCAAGTACGGAATAATAGGACCAAGTTCTGCAGCCGTGGTGAACTCAGCGATGGGTACACCGGAAACTTGCATTATCCAGTCGGCGGCGGTAGACTCGACGTCAGAAGATCTAAACACTGAGGGTGCCTCGGACGTGGTTACAGCATGTCGTCAGGATGTCAGCTATACTGAAGGCGCGTTTACACGCACGGAAGTCAGCTCTGCCGTCATAACCGACTCAGCGGATGAGCACTCCGACGCGACCAAGGAATATGATAGTTGGGAGGTATTACTACCTGAAGGAATAAAGCCGAACGACGACCAGGCTACGGCGGACTCGGCGTTGGAAACTGTGGAGGCTGAAACCGGTTCGGAAGTGGTTAGACAGCATGACGACGATAACATCAACCTCGGGGACAAGTTTGAACACGAAGGAGTAAGATCGTCCGTCACAGTGAACTCAACGAATGCGAGCCTTGACGCGGACGACAACTATGAGGTACCAGAGGTATCATTGTTGGAAGGTACTATAGCTGAGGTCGGAGTAACGAACTCAGCGGCGACGGTGTTTGACCCCGGCGGAATTGACTATGGCTTAGGACAAGCTGAAGACGATGAATGCAACTCGACGAGAAACCCGACCGAGACCCTGAAACAACACTACTTGGCTATCGCTGCGACCGAAGACGAGAAAGAGGATGATGTTGACGAGGGCACGACCAACGCCTTTGAGCAGTGAGGTGGGACAGATCTGGAATTGACGGACTACGCTCAC